ATGTTTTTGAATGTCAGTTTTAGACGAGTACTTGAACCCCCGAAGGCACCACGAGTACAGTTATACTTGATTCATCTAAATTGCTGATAAAACCTGGTTCAGTCACATTCCTTCCTCTCTTATATTAGGAATGTATTGCTTCTAAATGTCGGGAGGCCTGAAATCTGTTTACAGATTCCAGGCCTCCCGACAGGTTTGATATCTTCTTTACCTAATTGCCTCATGAGAACTGTCGCGTCTCGTCGCCGCCAGAGATGCAGCTTGTGGAGTGGTTGACTGCCCATGGACTTATGGTTATTGTTGATACTCAGGCCACGGGGCTCTAAAATCTCTAGTCTCGTGGTCTCATGGTGCACTTGCTCTCTGACTCTCCTGAATTCTTTCGATGTTGTCGACGGGTGTCAGGCTGGGAGCTGTCTCCTCGTTGATGTAATTAGTTGTTTCCAACATTTCGGCCGAGACGTGGGTCAATGGCCGCACACTGGTTATGCCATTTTGTATGACAGTTTACCGCTGTGCGGACATGGCTTAACCTAAGCCTGTCTCCCTTCTGGGACTGAAGGAATTATCCAGAAACACGAAAAACGAGGGGTGGCATACGAAGAGATGCTAAGAGTGTTTTCGCGGTCACTTCATCCTAGCAGTCCCCGAAGCCACCCACCTTATTCCTGGCATGACCTTAGCTGTATCGGTAAGCTGTATTCGCTGAGGATGAGAAGGTTTTCCAGGGAAAGGGACGTAGGAAATCATCCGGTTAGGTAAGGGGAAATCCAATGAGTCACGCCCTTGCTATATATCAGGATCCATCATTCCCTCCCTCTGACGACCTGGGAGGGAATTGTAGATGCGTGGGGTTGTCACTCGCTGGTAGCATTATTTTAGGGCTAATCCCCGGCAGTCCAGATGCCAGGCAAGAAGAATAGATGAGGGCAGCGAGAGAAAGAGAGAGAGAATGTAAAACGGGAGGGGAATCCATGACGTAGCACGAGGATTTCGGATCTATCATTGATGAGTCGCGTGCTTGGCCATTATGAAGAGAATGGAATGTTGCCGTTTCATTGTCCGACCGGAGAGAAAGAAAGAAAGAATCCCCCTACTTTTGTTGGTTTTCTCTCTGTCTCTCCGCGAAGGTCTTTCTCCTGTCAGTCGGCCATTGGAGATGCGAGGAAGTCAGGCAGGAGCATGACAGACGAGATGAGAACAGAAACAGCGTAGGAGGGAGAGGAGAAATAAAAGAGAATGGGACCGAGAGAAAACCAACAGGCTCCGTGTCAGTCTGTCTGTCTGGGGTTCATCCCGCAGGAATTCCAGTAGACCTGCTGGTAGTCCCGGGTCTCTCTATTCGGAACACAAGGCACGAGCCATCGCCTGGGAGACCCTCTTGATGAAGGATCCTCCCTAATGGATCTGCTCTTTCCCCCTTCCCTCTCTTTCCTTGCCAGGGACTGTATCTCCTTGGATATACTTACGGTTGCGTGGACGAAGGCTCATTTCTCTCTCTCTCTCCCTTGATGAGGTGATCTATCGCTTTGTGTATTCTCCCTCTTCGAGGCGTTCAATCATGCCGATGATAATAAAAAAAAAAACATCGGTGCTGTCGCCGATATGATTGCATGATCGTTTCATGCTGCCGAGTTCTCTGGATGATGGTGTTCTCTGTGCTGGGAAAATTAGGGAGACGTTTGAAATAATGGGCCTTTGAATGAGGGACGAAGTCATATCACGTGGAAGTGTGAGAAAGAGAGCTGGTGACTGGAAGCGAGAAAAGACACGGGGAGATAGATAAGGTCCATAGAACGTTCCTTTCGATGAGCCATCACCTAGGGTTTTATCTTTATTTTTCCCTTTTTTTTTTCTTTAAGCCAGAGAGCGACTGTTAGCATTGTTCGTGGTTAGTACCAGTGGAGGACCAGGACGGATCTGCTTGACTTGGCCTGAGACTTCGAATTAGATCTTCACATCATCCTAAGCCCGTCTGCGGACTCCCCGCTGCCTTTCCCCTTTTTTTCTATCCAGTACCCCCTCGTTATTCTCATGAAAGTCGAATCTCGGATGATTCAGCGGTCAGCAGCGCTGCAGTTCTCACGACCCGTTCCCATGGTGCCAAAATGTCCCGACATCCCTGTCATGGCAACGCCCTATCGATGGAAACCGAAGAGACAATGAGGCATCATCGATCAGAAATCAATCGATCTCGCCTCCCCCCCTGAGACCACTTATCCATCTCTTTGGGCTATGGCTTGTTTCCCCCCCGCGTTCTTTATCATCCCGTGTTTTTCTGTTTTCCACTATCGCCCATCTTCAGATCTTCAGCAGTCCATTGTCCCCCGATAATGGTGTCCCGATCGAGAAATCTCGATTGTGTGCGAAATTTCAGGTTGCCTTCATACATCACGCAGAAGGCAGAGGTTGAAGAGAGGAGAGCATGTTAATCATCCCATCTTCCCATGTTTTCACATTTTGTTCGAGATCCGGTCTAGTGAGAAAAAGTGCACCTGTACGAGCCCTCAAAGGTCACGAGGGGAGAGAAAATGGGGACAGAAGCTAGACAGTTTCTTCTTTTCTGTCTGGCATTTTCTCGCCTTTTTTTCGAGAAGGGGGAGGGGAATAGAAGAGAGGGGGGAGCTTCAGGTGAGCACACGTACTTGTACCAATGAAAGCTTAATGAGCCGAAACGTGGTAGTCCACTTTCCTTCTTTTTTTTTTCTCGCCTTCAATTCGGGAGAATGGACGGATGGCGGGACGAGTTCCTTCTCTGGGAACAAAGAACGAACTCTCTCTGACCTTGATGCAGTCCCTGGCCAGTACTGTGGCCTTCCTTCCCGTCCGTTAAAACTGAGGGTTTTTTTTCTCCTTGTGAAAGGAAAAAGAAAAAAAAAAGGATGCGTTTCATTGCTCCAACGAACGGGAGAATGTAGTACTTGTCGGCCTTTGTTTCTCCTGCGTGTCTGGACCGGAAGCCAATGTTCGTGACTCCAGGGATGACCGAAGTGAGAAAAAAAAAACTGCGATCCCTTTTCAGGGATTCCACGCGAGAAATCGCCTGCTTTTATCACCGCTACCCTTTCATATTTCGCGATAAATGTTAGGAAAAGCAAGACTCCCAGCGGGGCTACCTGTGCCAGTCGGAATGGTCACATGGGGTACCCTTGGCACTGGAGGGTGACCAGAATGTTAAAAACGCAGGAAATGAAAGGCAGTCCTTCGCACTCTATATGCAGTAAGAAGGAATCAATGGCGAAGGCCTGTCGGAAGAATGCGGCCCTTGAAACAGGACGGCCTTTTTTTTTATTGCTTCCCAGGCCGTGAATTGAGATGGGCTCGTGATGAATTCACTTATCTGTCCTTCCATTACAGGAGAAGAATTCCTTCCTCAACTACAATGTGTCATGCATTATGACTCTACCGCCGTATCAAAGACAAGGCTTCGGTCGACTTCTCATCGATTTCAGTGAGTTCTTCTCTATCTTCCCACCATCTGAATTGAAGCGTAGAAGGCTCCTGCTTAAAGGAGAGGAGCAATGATTGTTATCGGTATTTTGTTGAAAAAAAAAATGGAGAGGAGTCACCGAGGCACTGGTATGACGACATTCCAGGAGGTCTCAGGGTAGAGGTCCGTCTATCGATAAGCCAACATTTTTTTTATAGTCCACATTCCTTGACCCGCTTTTGCTTCAGGCTCTATGCTCCTTGACTTTTTCTTCCGGTTTCCATTGATTTTATTTTTCCGTAACGCGAAGTTCTGGGATCTCGTGTGTTTACGCGAAGGTTCCGTATCGAGTTTCAAGGCCTGGTTGCGAAGCTGCTCAGCCGATCGATATACGATTTGCATTTCAAATCATTGAAATGGGCTGAACCTGTGGAATGAACTTCCCGAGCCTGTAAAATGAATTTCCCTCGCTACGGAATGAGAGTGAAGACGTTCGGAGGTCTTTCACCTGGATCTCCTCAGTGCAGCCCGAAAATGAAATTTTTTTTTGGAAAGGCAGGAAGGGACGTAAAGACATGATCCCATCATTGGCCATGCGATGAGGGCCCCGCCATAACTTGTGACGGTATCGTCACGAGACTACACCGATCCGGTGATTCACTCTGCCGGACCGTGTATGAATCAGGGGGAAGGAAGAAATCCATGTGATTTGTCTTCCTGTCCTCAAGTGGCCCGGCGGCCCCCTTTTGTGGATCATTCGGAGTCCGTCACGGATCTAGCAGGACATGACGGTCCCTCCCACGTTGAGCCGAGGGATCATCGATTGCACGGGACATTTTATCATGCGGAATCCCCGAGGACTTCATTTTGGTTGACATTGCCTTGGCAAGCCCCGATACGAGATGGCGAGGGTTGATGGAGTCACTTTTAGACACCTAATTAGCCGTCTCTCTTCTGCGTCAGTGCGGGGCCGCCCCCCTCCCCTCCAACTTTCCAAAAATGGTCACATTGGCTTATTAAGTCGGATTCGTTGCGGAAGACTATAGGTGGGAAATGATGCAGTAATTGAGCTGTCTTTTCGTGAATTTTTATTAGCGTACATGGGGGAGAAATTTTGTTGTCTGAATACGAATCGTCACGAGCTGTTCCAGTACTGAGATTTTCCTCGGTGGGAAAACTCGAGCTTGAGCTTGATCTGAACGGCTCCCCAATGGGGGATCCCCATGAGAGGGAGAAACGAAGGCGAGTACTATAAAAGAGGAGTTAGGTGCGCAGCCGATGATGCCGTATTGTTTTTCCTCAGGCATCGCCTTTTTTTTTTGGAGGAAACTGTGCTGCGTCACGCCTTTGTGTGCCTTGCCTTGCCTTGCCTTGCCTTGCCTCAACTTTCTTTTCCTCGTTCGCGGAGGATGTGTGTTCGAAGGGGAGGAAGTTGGCCGGGAAGGAAGGAAGAGTGCTAGTTAGGGAATATAAATTTTCTTTCTCTTTTTCGGCTCTCGGGGAGAGAGAGAGATTGTCTCTCCCCCCTCCCTTCCCGGGAGGAGAAGCGATGTTTCATCGCACATAAAACATGGGTGTGGTGGTATAATGTAGGTATAATGGATGTCCCTACATGCTGGGAAAAAACCTCTGTTCTTACACCGCGCGAGGGGGTTGTGCAGCGTGCAGGAGGAAGGATATTCACGGAGGGAAGAAAGATAGCGGTCGGCCGGATGTCACCGGCCCCCCTCCTAATGGCTTCATTTTCCAGGATTCATTCCCTTCCCTAAGGGATATCACAGGGCTCTTGTATGTAATTAGGCATTTATATGGACCGTGATGAATGGTTGAATGCCCTGTGTCCCGTGGTGCATTTACCTTGCATTCCCCCTCTTTCCCTGGAAAAAAGGCTATCAGCTGACTCGGATGGAGGAGAAGATCGGATCGCCGGAGAAGCCCCTGAGTGACCTCGGCCTCATCTCGTATAGGAACTATTGGAGAGATGCTGTTTTGTCCTACCTCTGCAATTTCGACGGGACCAGCGAGATCTCCATCAAAGGCGAGTGTGTTCGAGATGCAGTATGGCCCAAAAGCCCAATCACGACCCCCAAAACGGGGGGTCGTGATTGGACTTTTGTTGTGTGATTTAGGTTCCTATCTCGGTGGTGGATCGCGTCTGAATCTGATGAATCGTCCCGCAGTCGGTATGCTACCGAAGGCCGAACGAGAGGGGGGTGGCAGCTGCTGCAGCAGACCGCAAGTACGCCGGGATATTTTCGAGATGGGGGTCAAGGCGGGGGGCAGGGACAATCAGTGGGTATCTAGATGTGCTTTGCATTTACAGATGTATGGGAAGGGGAAAATAGGGGGGGTTGAGGGATTAGCTTGGCTTGGCTGCGTTGCTGGGTGAAAGAGGCACGCAGTACTGAGGGCCAAGAAGTCACAGAAATGTAATATTCATGAAATTTCCCAAGATAAGTCTCGCACCCTTGGAAATAAGTGAATGGACCAATTAAAAGTTCCGGCATATCAGCCTGCTTTGTTCCTATTTGCCGAGAATATTCCGATACCAAAGCCGATTGATATCGGCTGATAATGGGAGTTAGCAGCTATTCATAGCAGGGTAGAATGTGTCGCCGATGCGTCGCATGTATTTCGATCGTTCGACCGCGATCTTAACTCAGAGTGAATATATCGTCTTATCATCGCCATCTCTCTCGGCTTGCATATAGTACTGTCCCCTTTATATCAGATGTTGACTGATATATCGCATGGTACATCGTCCGATACTTGCTTTACGGATTATCGTCACGGACGTGGGCCATATTAGGTATCTGCTATCAATTTATTGCCATCCCGTCGGTCCATCACTGGGAATAGCTCGCCTGAATGTTGCCCGTAGCAAAGTGTTCACGAAAGGCGAAGTGGTCTACTTCGAATTTTTTGCTACCCGCATATACGTCTTGTCAATGCCTCGTTTTTCCTCGTGGCCAAATGCAAAGAATTAAGCTTAAAATTTAAAAGTTTTGACCTCAATGCCGAGCTTGTAACTGAATACAGGGTGAGGATTCTTGAGGAGCTGGTGACAGAATTACTTGCGAAAAGTTTCTTTCCGACTTTCAGCGGAGTTCATACTCGTTCTGTGCAACGTGCAATTGCAATTCTGCATTGCATAAAAAAAAATTTCTATACAGCTGGAATGAATAGGAACCATTTCTGTTAGCAGTGGAACAAGCAAACAGTGGATGCGGTGCTGCATCTGCAGGAAGCAGCGTGCAGCTTCTCTGCCCGTCGACAGACTGCTGTTGTGTATTCCATCCGGCTTGCAATACAGGAGTATGAAGTATTCCATGAATGATTTTTTAAATATTTTTCTGGGGCAGATTTTTTATTTATTTAAAGCCACTCCAAACTCGATGAAAAGAAAAGCCAAAAACAAAGTACTTGACACGTGTTCATGACGCTCCGATCTGAAGAGGTTGAGAGGGATTCATCCAAGGCCCCCCTGAACCCCACCGGGAGATGGACAGCAATGGCCCTGGCCCCCGGGATTGCAGGGAGGTGCAACCGCTGAACCACGGGTCTGGAGGGGTCAGACTCAGACAGATGGACAAATCCACGTACGAGGCCGGGGCCTGGGGTCCCAGCACCTGCCGTCGCCAATGAGCCCGGCTTCGGCGAAAAAATCACGCTTTCCTCATTCCTAACAGATGTTCTCGGGCTTTTAATGATGGACAGGTGTTGTTCGTGTTCGGAGAAAGGACTTCTCTTTTCCCCCTATTGAACATGATATCACGGGATTGTGTGTGAGAGAGAGAGAGAGAGAGGGAATAGCAGAGTCCATGGGAGAGGCGTTATTAGGTGTACTACTGAATGGAGTGCAGGTATAGGAAATGCAGAGATGGAGAGACACCTGTCCGTATGTTGGGTGGCACAACAGCTGGCTACATCCGCCTAGGGACACCAAGTGGAATATGTACATTCGCAGTTTCGTTCTTTTCTCCTACCCGACCCTGGCTCTCTCCACGTGGATCGCCTGGGTTCAACCACTCATTTCATGGCCAGCACCATGTACTGCAGCCAGACATTCGAAAGGGAGAGAGATGTCTGTACCAGTTTTTTTTTTTTCATGAGGTGAGGCCGTCGGGGAGTGGGGTACCTGGGAAGCCCAACTCGAACTTGCACGGATGCCAAATAACTCTTTTAGTCTGTCCTCCTTTCCGCTGTCGTGATCGTGACCCTTATATTCTGGGCGCATTTTCGAGGCTGGGTTTCGCCGAAGGAGTGTTGGTGGGCATTCATCTAATAATCCGGAGGGAATTCTTTAATTCGGTGCTGGAATTGGATGGAATGCACCAAGTCAGTTGCTGCTCCCATTTAAATAATGAGCCATTTTCATTTTCAAAAGCGTAATTGGCTTGGTACTTAGTGATGCATCAAAGTTATTCGCAGTATTCCTTCCCGAAACCAGAACGGGATGCACGGTATACAGGGTGTCCAAAAAAAATGTATACACACTTTGATTGCTAATTACTTCTATGTTTAATTTCATAAATTCAATTTTATAATTTTATAATGAAGAAAAAATGAGAAAAAATTATGTAAGTCTGGGATTTTGCATTATTACAACCAACTTGCAACTGAAAAAGAGAAAAGGTTACTGAGTTATGGGTTGATGAAGTGTGTATACATTTTTTTGGACACCCTGTATATTATACTCATCGTACCGTCACCCGCGTGGAACGGGTCCTTGCAAATAATAAATAATTGGGGTATAACTCATCCTGGCCTTTACCGATGCCATAAGTCACTATCCAATTCCCTTCTCCCTTTTTTTTTCTTACCTTTTCCATCTCCCCCTTTTTCTCTTTCGCTCCAGTGATCAGGGGAAGTATCAGAGTGTGAATCGCTGGAACCAGGTGTGACCAATGATGAAATGATGCGTGGAATGGAGATTCTTTCCTTCCCCTGTCCCGTTTTTTCCTTACTTTTCTTTTTTTTTTCTCCCTAGATATGAGCTCGCTGACGGGGGTGAACTCGTATGACTTGGTGAGTACGATGCAGGAATTGGGTATCATCAAGTACTGGAAGGGGAAGCATATCATCCTGAGGAAACAGGTCAGTCTCCTCTCGTGTAGTTTTTCTTTTCCGTGAAGAATGGCGTGTCCCCTCACCCCGAAATGAGTCATTCGAGGTCAGAGGGAGAGAAATTCGATGTTTTTCGCGAGAGGGAAAAGAAAAAAGAAGAGTAATCCGATTCCCCCCGATTCTCGGACACGATTGGCTCATTCACACTTTGATCTCTCGGGTTTTCCTTTCTTGCTGCTCGGGCTTTGATCAGGAGTTTTTTTTTTCCTCATTGATCAAAAAGGGAGCTGAGTGCATATCCGGCTAGATAGGCTCACCAAGGGCAAAGGAATGGACAGACTCTTCACAAGGTCACCGATATCATCGTTGCACAGCACTTTTCCTCTCTCGCGCTCGCTCTCTCTCACTACCCCCTCTAAGTCGCGTATTAAAAAAAAAAATAGAATTTTGTATTCCCCTTCGTCTGTCCGAAGCAATGTTATTTTCATTTTGGCAAATTTTATTTTTAGGATTCGAGGTTTGTAAGTATTTTGAAGACCCGTATATGCCAGGGTTTATATGATATATGTCGGAATGGATTTGTTGTAGGATTTGTTGGAGGAACACAGGGAGAAGATGGAGAAACGGAAGGGTGAAAGACGGCTGATAGACCCGACTTGTCTCAGGTGGAGGCCTTATCAGGCACCCAATCCTCCACCGTCCAACTCTTGATCTTTATTTCAACACTTGATCTTTTTTTGGTTCTTTATCGGAGTAAACACGACTTGCTTTTGAGAGGGTGAAGGGATTTTGTTTCCCTGCAAAAAGTGCTGGGTCATGCCAGAGGATGAGGGGAGGGGGGTACTCTTACGTAACTTTCCTTCCCCCCTTTTTTTAATGATTTTTTTTTGTTCCCCCGTTTCATTAACCCTTTCCCTAGAGGGAAACCCCGATTATCGATGGAGCATTGATGGGCGACTTGGCGTATCAAAGGCGATTTTTCACCGGCAGGAAACAAGGGCCAAACGGAAGATAGCATCTCCGTGAATAGAAAATCGATAGCACTGCATACAAGATTGCATAATAACATTCCTGGAAGGAGTCTTGGGGCAATAGCCGCACATAATCGGTCTGTCTTATCAATTAATTGTGATTCATGGAAGCGGGCTGAGGAGGTTTTCGAGTGCTTGGCTGGTATGAAAACGAGCCGTGGAGGAAAAGTTGCACGAGTGGAACTTTTTCAATTCGAGATTAAATCCCTTATCTACAAAATAAAATTCAGTAGGGAATAACATGAGGTTGTTGCTAGGTACTTCTTGACCTAGAACGTCGAGATTTTTGTATTAACATAAGGAAATTGTGTGAAATGACTTTTATACCTTTTCAAGTTCCTTGAACGCATAGAATTGCTTTCAGACTTGTGTGTTAGGTCGTAATTTATTCCACAGGTTCCTTTCTGTACTGAGACATCCCATTTTGACGAGTTCAGTAATGTCTTCTCTCAACAAATTGCATGCTTTGCATTTATATCATTCACGATGAAAGCCTGCCTCAGGACAGATATGGGATTTAGTAAATCCAGAAAAGTTTGTCTAATGAAATGCTGGTGTTGGCACCATCATTAGGGTAAACGGTTCGATTGATTTCTAAATCTCGAAGTGCCTGCCACGGAAGTTGAGTCACGTAATCGATAAATCCCTTCCGCTCGCCCATGGGTCCATTACCGCTTTTATGCGGTCGTTGACATTCCACGATTTTGCGAAGTAACGTACTGAAGCTAGAGTCGGAATGACACCGTATTCCCACGGTACTTTCTCTGCCGCAACTCTTATTGATATGCGGTAAACGTAGAGGCGCAGCCTGCAGCATTACAACTATCATTCAGATGCCAGGTCGAAATCACGCTGCACGATTGAAGCAGCAATCGTGCAAACTTTCGACTTTTCCCTTCGCATGTCGGACCCATCGTCAGAAAATCCACAAATTGTTCTGCACGCACGCACTTTTTATTTGAAAGCATGACTCTGAACAAATCGAAACTGCAAGGCGAACACAAGGCTGTAAAACACTGCAGCGAAGGGGCCGGAGAGGGTCGGATTCGCGATACCCCGCATGCTTGCACGGTTTCCCATTCCATCATGGCTCATGCTCCGACCGTCTCAAGAGGGTAGATGGAAGGCAGGCAATGGAGCTTGTGCTTGGTGGTTGGTCACCGTCACCCGTCACTCCATCGTGCGCGTGAGAAGGGTGGGAGTGACGTATTCGCTTACGTCACTGTCCTTCCCTTCCCCCCCTCCTCGCCCCTTGGCAGTCGCGACTCTATCAAGGCTATCTGGAATAACCAACATGGCGACACGGAGCAATGGAGTTAGCCTACACTCACCACAGATGACGAAGCAGGCAGGCAAAGTTCGTGGAATTCGGATGATACGGCAAACGAGGCGTGATGCTCGGATCAAACGTCGTCACCGCCCTCGCATTATTTGTACTCCAAGAGGAGCCTGGTTCGCAACTCCAGAGCACCTGATGAAGTACAAAGAACGAACCGGGCGGTTTCCCCTTCCTCGGCTTCGATGATCCATACATCCTGCTGAGCGGAACGGAGCGGCGATGAAGAAGGGAAAAAAGTGGGAAGAGAGCGAAGGCCGGCCGTGTTGCTCCCGAGTTTGTTTCTACATGACTGCTTCCCTTCCCTCCGAGGACAGGAGGCAGCTTTCCGTCCGTCGCCCTCTCACTCACTCGCTCTCGGTAGAGGCTGGGCAACGCGACATGCACACACATACACAGTCACGGGGGAAGGAAAAATATCCCCCTCCACCACGGATGGAGAGGTTATGTAAACGGGACACTCGGCGAATGAGAGAAGCGAGACTGGAGATCCGGACCGAAAGAGCGAGAGCGACAGACTGAGCCCTGTCTCCTCACCGCCTCTCGTGTGGTGGTCGGTGATGGTGGCTGCCGCCTTTCCACTGCACGCAGTGCACTGCTGCCGTGGCTCTGGCTCTTCCCATGCCTATGCGCTCCGTCGTATTCTCGGAACTAGTCTCCCTCTCGGTCTCAGCCCCGGGTTAGATCTTCCGTTACTGCTATGATAAGAATTTCCGGTCCCGCCCCTCCTCTCCCAGCCTTCTTACTCACCTCTCTCTCTCTCGGACTTGCTCCCTCCCCGAGACTTGAAACGACTTGGAATGAGGATGGCGATGCCCCGAGTCACCGCGCGCTACTTCAGGTACCTGACCAAGCCCACACACAGTCGCCGATACCTAAGTAGCGGAGCGGAGGCTGCGGGAATCCCTCGAGACCGTCTCGTTTTCGGCGGTGTCTGAGACGCGACTGAAGACCCCATACGTTCTCGCCCCCCTGTTTATATGGGAGGGGGCTGGGGGCGGAAAGAAAACTTGCTGTGGCGTCTAGCAGGGGGGAAAGAGAACGAAAAAAGACCCCAGGGCAAAAGGACGAACCAGGCCAAGCCTTCCACCCACTTCCGCCCCTTCCATTCATTCATCCTTGCGACTTCATGAATGACACGCACAGGAAATTCCTCTCTTCCGTCTGCTATCGCATGCAACTACCATTCGATCTATGCACGCACTCCGTTGCGGTTTTGCATCGTTCGCGGAAAGGTCAGTGCATGGGAGACTGCCAGCTATAAATTCCACTGCGAGGGGCTATTCAAACGTCTCCCCCTTCTCTCCACCCTCATTTCGGGAGAAGAGGGGGTAAAAAAAAAATTGGTTAAAGTGTGCGGATCGTGACCCGAAGGGTGGACCCTAATCATTTTCTCCCTCGAAAAGTTCCACCCTGGCCGATCCGCAATCCAAAATGCCCCTCTCACCCTATGAAAATTGTCTTCAAATAAGGCCACACGCAGAGATGCATGCACATGCCAGCTGGGGAATTTTCCCAGCTCCATCAAGGCGTATCAATCTCACAGACATTCCTCTCTGCCTTTCTTTTCTGCTTCACTCCTTTCGAAGTGAATAACCGAGCTCGTTTTCCCCGAATCCGTTCCCTTATTCGCTCTCCCGAGAACTCCTGCAGCAGCCGATTCATTGCGGCTCCGAGAAAGGATAGAACAAAGATGGGCAATAAAATGGGAACAGCCAGCTTCTGACGGTGACGAAGGGGCCCATATATGGGGATGGAGTAAGCAGAGCCCAGACATATCTGGAAGGGGGCCTACATGATGTAACCCACACTCGGGAGTGGGTGGAGCCCGGACGAGTTCGCTTCCATCTGTCAAAATGGGACAGGAAAGGCAACCACCACTTCCCACAACTCGCCGGTACCGGAAAAAAAAAAACTCCCACTGATTCATTCTCATGCCTCGGAGGAGGGAGGACACGGGGGCATGCGATCGATGTCGGAAGGAGCCGCCTATGCACGATGGAACACATCAACCTTCGTGGGTGAGCCCGCGGTTTTTCCCATAGTTGGGAAGAGAACGAGGGGAGGAGGAGGAGGGGCGGCGAGAGGTGCACCCCGGACGGTCTCAGCCGAGTGAAT